AAAACATTGTAAGCGTCTGCACTGTACAAGCAAAAACAAAACAGCAACAAAACATGTTTGCCACCAGCATGGGCCTGGGACCTGTATGTTGTCCCAGGGCTGCCAGTTTGCAGTCTCCAGTTTAGAGCTGTTTTCTTGAGTTGATTTCGAGTGAGATCTTGCTGAGAACAGCCATTCCCATGTCTGGAGAATGCTTTGCTGCACCTGGAACTTTTAAACCAGCCGACAAGGAAGCTACAGAGACAGCGCTTATTTAAATAATCAATTTGGTAGTAAAGGAGTTTAAATCGGAACGCAGCCCCAGTTCTCAGAGATGAGGAAGAACAGGTGTGGTCCAGTCTTCCCCTCTCAGAAGTCCTGCATTTCATCAGCTGCCTTTGGAGAGGTGCAGGCAAGCAACCTTGCTTCCTGGTTTCTGGCGCCAGTTACACACAGCACTAGGAGGGTATCTAATAATCTTCCAGAACCCCACTGGTGAGGAAAATATGTTTGTATAAATCAAGGGAAAATAGAAATTGTAAAGCTGAATTAAGTTATGAAGGAAAAAACATGAGTTTCAATGTTGGAGAGGGAAATGTTGTTCTTGGCACTTCAAGCTTTTCTGAGTGCAGGACCTCCTTGAGGAGCCCCATGCAGCACATGAGATGGTCTCATCTGAGCGTGCAGCCCAGTCTGCCAGATCAGGATGCGTTAAATCAGTTTGCAGACTGAGCCCCGGGACGTTCCTGCCGCCTCTCCCTTTTCACTCTGTGATTTCACTTTCCTGATTAGTAAGTCCAAAGGCCAAGGAATACTAAACTGAGAGGAGGAGCCTCCCTGATGATCCAGCCATATAACAAGTAACTCAGAGCCTAGTGCAGGGAACAGCATTCTTGGCAGAGGAAACAGTATATGCAAAGGAGAGGCCTGATAGATGTGATACAACCTTGGGGCTGTGTCCTACTCTCTTGCCATTTTTCTCCTCATATCTCCCTTGGAGCAGTTCAGTGATATGCAGTCTGGAGTTGTGAGTTTTGCTTCCTGAAGACATGGAGGATGAGTGACTACAGATCTAGTAGATGGTGGGTCTCAGCCCTCAACAGCCAGAACACAGAAAAAGTGCCCATCTTGGCCCGGGGTCATGTGGTATGTACCCCAGGTCAACACGTCTCCCCTCAAGACTGAGGAGGTCTTGTTAATTACTACATTGGTCCCAGAATACTTTTCTAGGTTTCTGCCATTGCCATCCCTTCTTCAGATAAACCAGGGGCAGTCATTCTCGGAGCCATCCTATTTATCTTGATACGCAACAGTGGCGGGAACTCAGAGTCAAGATCTGGACACCCTCCCAGCCCATAACTTGCTCTGGAATCTCAAGCAGATGCTTCCTGGACAGAAAGGAGCCCCAGACATGAAGGCTTCCGCTACCATCTCAGCTCTGCACTTCAGCTGTGTGACAGAGCCTGCCTCTCAACGTCTCTGAGCCTGTTTCCTCATCTGTAAAATAGCATCATGAACTTCTGTCTCAGAGAGAGATTGTGAGAACTGGTGAAGGGGTTTCACGACAGTGCCTGACACACCTCCAGCTGCCTTAGACTCTTCCCCAAGCACAGGGGCTGGGATCTGGGGCAATTTCTACTCCTCAGGAAACACCAGCAACCCCCTCCACAGCCAGGTGGACCACAGAAGACCCCCTTCTGCCATCTGTGGACCAAGAGAACAAAGAGAAGCCCAGATTCTGTGTGCTATGGGGTTTTCTTCACTCCATCCAATCCAAACCAGGAAACTGCAAAGAGACCAATGGCTGGAAGACCAGGTTACATTTGAAATGATCAGAGTCCTTGAAGTTCTGCACTGGAGCATGACCGGGCCCAGGCTCCAGATCCACACCAGCCGTCTCCTCTCCTGACACACTGGGCCCCACGCCCACACTCATGGACTCTCCTCTCCCTGTGAATTCCAGCTGCATCCTTACGCTTCCCTCCCCTTCTTCCCCCCCTCCCTGCAGACAGCCACCCTTTGGCCATTCCTCCCTCACCAATGATGAGGTCTGTCCCCAAGGAAGAGATTAGTGGAAAAAGGCATGCTGATCTTAGAGGTGGATTCAGAGCTGTTTGGGTAGGAAATTCCAGGGTCCTGGGTGCCCCGAGTGTGTTCTAAAACAGGGCTGGTGGGGTGCATAGACCTCAGGTAGCCACATGCCTCGTTGTCTTGCAAATTCCTCACCCCATGCAGGACGGGAAGGTGCACACGGGCTCGAATCAGGCCCTCTAAAGCACCAGACCCAGGGCAAGGGCTCCTCTCACTCAGTTCCAGGGGCAGGACAGGGACACGTGTGGACATCGATCTACAGGCAGCCTAACCATTGACTGGCCAGTGAGCTAGGAGGTGGAGCTCTACCCAGAGAGGATGAGTTAGCAGATTGAACTGGCCGTGCTCTCTACCACCTTGCCGTTCTCCTGTCAAGACATGGAGTATCGTTCTCCTCCCCAAAACCTAGATGGGACTTTGTGGTTGCCATGGTGAACAGAAGGCAGTAGAAGTGGCGCTGAGTAACTTCTGAGACTAGCTCATAATATGTGATTGGGCTCCTGCCTGGGGCTCATTCTCTGGGAGATCACTCACCGTGGCAACCCAGCCACCATGATATGAGGAAGCCCAGGCCACTGGAGAGACCATCGTTTTAAAATACGGGTTTTACCAACGTTCATAGCAGCATTATTTACAATTGCCAATGTATGGAAGCAACCTAAGTGTCCAGCAACAGATGAAATGGATAAAGGAGATGTAGTAAGTATATATACAATGGAATACTACCCAGCCATAAAAAAGAATGAAATTTTGCCATTTGCAGCAACATGGATGGACTTGGAAGGTAAGTGAGATAAGTCAGAGAAAAACAAATGATGATATCACTTATATGTGGAATCAAAAATACAACCAATTAGTGAATAAAACAAAAAAAGAAGCAGACTCATAGATCCAGAGAACAAACTAGTAGTTACGAGGGGTGAAGGGGAAAGAGGGAGGGGCAGTACAGGGGGAGGGGAGAAAAAAAGGATTTCTAAGAGATTATATGAAATCATGTATGTGAAACTTTTGAAAATGCTGAAGCACTATAGAATTTAAAGACTTCCGTTCAATTAAAAAGAAAGAAGACTAAAATGGGTCTTATTTTATTCAGGTATGAGGAGGCCAGCAGATCAAAGATGACTGCCATGGAAAAGATAGTTTGTTATACTCAGAGTTTCCAAGAGAAGAGTGTGCACCAGGCCATGGGGAGGAGGGGGGTTGGGGGAGCACACGGGAAGCACCAGCGTTGGTCAGAAGGCAGAGGGAGAAAGGGAAACTGTAACCAGAGACTTTACTGCGGTTTCCATGGAAACGGGTGCGGCAGGGTTAGCAGGTTTTGGATTGGCTAGTTAGAATAATTTCAGTTGTCTCTGGGGTACAGGGACTATCCCCCGTTGTCTGGTACCTGGCCCTATGGTGATTAGGAAAATAGCCACCTGGAGTGTAACAGCCCGGGTTTCTGGAGGTGGCTAGGGGGATGGGCTCTGGACTGATCGGTTTGCACATGAAAGACATGTTTCCTCTAGGAATGAGGTAGCCCTGCGATGGGTAGTTGCTCCAGAGTCAGCAAGGCCCCAAGGTGTCAAAACATCAGAGCACAATAAATAAAAGACATGGCTAATAAAGGCATCTGTAGGTTTTCCAGCCAACAGCCCACAGGTCTCAGCCTACAGCTGGCATCAGTTGCAACGTGAGAAAGCGCAAATCAGAAGATTCAGGCTCCCTCCTTCAAACAGCCCAGCTGACACCATGTAAGGCAGAGACAAGCAACACCTGTCAAGTCCTGCCCAAATTGTAAGTCACGTACGAAATGTTTTTTTTTTAATCATTAAGATTTAGAGTAACTTTTTTATACAACTGTAGTAACTTGAACAATGGTAATGAATGAAGCCAAACAGATTCTGGCTCTCCAGAATTTAAACTGGGACTTAATGAAAATCAGTGAGTTGCTAGCAAGAGACAAGTGGTCAGACCCTAAGAGAAGCAGCAATGGAAGATCCAGCTGAGGCATGTTCACAACAGATGGCTTACTCTGGAATAACAGGAGTGCTGGGCTGGTGTGGCCCTGGTCCTGAATGATGATCTAGTTTCCCGAGGTCAGCAGCGGGACCTTGTCCTCCCTGAGGCCTTTGGGTGGTGAGTTTCTCCCGGGTCTGTACTGAGTTCCTTGGGTGGGGCAGAGACCCTGCTCTGAGACCCTTGTGCTGAGACTAAGAGTCTCCATTCCTTGCAGCCAAGGAAGCCTCTCACCCCTGGGGGCATGTGGTGCCAGCCAAAGCTGGGCATATAGTAAGCAAGCAGGACGGGGAACCCACCCACCTTCATTTCTCCTGCCACGAGCCATCGAGGGCCTTGTAGGGACAGAAAATGTTAAAGAGCTTCGTGACGCTCAAGGTCTGGCCAAATCCAGGTGGCTAGCATTTTCATTTCTCCAAAATATTTTACTGTTAATATTTTTTAAGATTTTTTAATTGAAGTATAGTTGATTAACAATGTCGTATTAGTTTCAGGTGTACAGCATAGGGGTTCAGTATACACATATGTTCTTTCTCAGGTTCTTTTCCATTATAGGTTATTACAAGGTATTGAATACAGTTCCCCGTGCTCTACACAAGGACCTTGTTTATCTATTTTATATATAGTCATGTGTATCTGTTCATCCCAGATACCTAATTTATCCCTCCCTCCTGACTTTTAGTATTTTAAAAATAATTTTAATCGTCAAAAAATGCCCAGAAATTTCACTTCTTTATCTCCAAGCTCAGACCAGGACAGGTGCCCCCTTCTGGTTTGCACTCATTCCAGAACCTTCTGGCAACAGACCATCATCTGCATGTCCCTGCCTGCAAAGGCAAGGCCCAGAGAGAGGGAGCGCTTGTCTATGGCTTCTTTCAGTAGAGACAGGGCCTCCTCAGCCGGATCCCTCTCCTCCCTTCCCCGTACCTCCCTCTCCACCCGCCCCAGCCCAGCACTCAGGTGTGGAGCGCAGGGGGCGCCTGCCACGGCCCTGAGTGGCTTTAGCAGTGTGGGGGGGACATCAGTGTGGAAGGACAAAGGGAGGCAGGTGTATCTGACTGACTTGTGTGAGTGTGTATGTGTGTCTGTGTGTGTGGAGGTGGCTGGGATGGGGAGAGGGGAGGAAGCGTGGAGTCAGGAGATGGGCGGATTTATTGAGATCTTATATACTTTTCCTCCCTATATTCACCACTCCTCCAGTTCCAAAGGGGGCAGCCCAGCCCTCTCTCCACACAGGCCTCTGGGGAAAGTTTTGTGAAAAATAGAAAGTGCCTGCAGATGCTCCCGTGCTCTCACTAGCATCCATGCACTTGAGGGAGGGTTCAAGACCAGGAGGGCAGGAGGCCGGGTTGGAGGGCACAGGGTAGGAGCGGGGTAGTACTTGGCAGGGTTGGGCCTTTAGTTATGAAAATTTTTGTATTTGGACTAGGTGTATGTTTTTAAAGTACCGCCTAAAACTGACATAAATTACTGAATTTTTTTTTTTAAAGGAGGGCAGGAGGGTAAGGGAGGACAGTGCCAAGGTGGGAGAAACCAGCCCAGGCAGAGACAGCCTGGTTACGTGTGCGCCCTATGTCCTGACATGTTATCTGAGCCTTTGTACAAATGAGCTGGCTCCTGTGTGTGCCAAGACGTGTGTCTGTGACCAGACCTGCCCATGAAATATGTCATGCCACAGACTGGGGGTGTGTCTGTTCTGTCCACCTCTGCTGACTCTGCCTTGGCAACCGCAGGCACCTGTGACTGGGCCGAAGCCGGGGGCTGCGGAACCTGGGTGAGAGAGCCCAGAGGCCAGCAGCCAGGCAAGAGCAGCCTCCACCAGCCTGGCCAGGTGACACCTAGTGCCCGACCGAGGGGAGACATCGAAGGGACCATCCACATGGGGGCTAGAAGGGTAGGGGCTCATCTCAGGGGGTTCATTGCCTCCAGAGTCACCGAATCAACTTGGGACTCTGACTCTCTGCCCCTTCAAGAGTCAAAGCCACTCTTGCCAGTGAGCTAAGGGCACACGGGGCTACCCTGCCCACTCTGCCCCCATAGCTCTTCCTTTGTAACAAGGTTGCAGGCTGAGGCCAGGTCCTCCCCGCACTGAGAGCTCCAGGAAGGACCTGAATGCAGGGCTGTATCACTTCAGTCCATCCAACTTCTCTGGGTAGGGCAGGTCTGGAATTTTGGAGGTAGAGGGGAAGTGGCTAGGGTATCCTCTTCCAGGAAGGCTTCTTGGATTTCTGGGTACACTGAGGATGCAACATCTCAGCCCCAAAGCCCCAGAGTCTCTCTCTGTCTTGCTCTCAAATTCCCCAAACACTCCATGACCATCAGCTTTACTCCAAGTGTCCTGTTCCATCTGTGCTCAGGTCCTCTGGCTAGCTGCCCTTTTCTCCTCACCAGTAGCCAGCATTCACTCTGCTATTTCATCTCCTACTCCAAGACTGGTGCCAAGTGGAACACATCACTCTTAATTCCCCTGTTCTCCACTCCAGACAAGCACACAAGCCCTCACATTCCTGAGGGATTTTCTGCTAATACCCTAGGGAAAGCTGAACAGACATGCACATCACAACAGCCAGGTGATGTGTGGGACACAACTCAGCCCGCTCTGGTTAGAGTACCTCAGGGAGCTGGCAGGGAGAGAGGCCAGCTTCCGTACCCACTGGGCATGTGGAAAGGACCTCACAACATGGGGGCCACCAGAGGGCGGGCTACAACTACTGGACCACTGGCCCATCAGGGGGCCTTATTCTTGGGAGTGAAGTGTCTCTAGGTGGGAAGGATACTATGCACAGGTCCCACCTAGGGACAGATGGAAAGCATCCTGGGAACAAGGGTAGAGGGGGAAGATGGCTGGGAAGCCCAGGTGTGAGTGGTCACAGGCTTTTGGTTGGAAGGACCCATGTGTGACGGGGGGAGAGAGAGTGCTGGAAAGTAAGAATTAGGATGCCAGGGGAGCATGGGTGTTAAGGGCGAAAAATTGAGCTGTTGGGGAGCCATTAAGGATGCTGTCTTGGGGCAACCTGAGTGGGGAAGACAAGACAGGGTGTCCTGGGGCATAAGGAAGCCCTAGGACTTCCCTGATAATGCCTTGATCCTCCAGGTCATAGGAGGGGCAGCTAGAGTTCACACCCTCCCGCTAGGGACCTGTCTCCTCCACTCAGGGGAGCCGCTTCCAGACCACTCTAGCCCAGGTATGTACCATGGTTTAGTTACAGGAGCCAGTGCAGTCCCCTTCCCATTGTGGCTTAAGCTGGTTTGAGTTGTTTGTCATTTCAACCTTCAGATTTGAACTAGTTTCTTAAATGATGCTTGTTCCTTGCTCAAGAAGTATCAATGGCTCCAGATTACCTACAGGGTAAAGTCCAAACTCAACCTGGCCTTCAAGACCTCATGCTCTTCCTCCATCATTATGTCCTCCTGTCCCTTACATGCAGCCTTTTCTGGGACACTACTGATGCAAAAGTCCTCTCACCCAGAATCCGAGGGCTCCGAAAACGACTTTGTTAGCATCATCTCCTTGGGGGGCCTCCCTGGACTGCCAGGAGGGTGAATCACTTCTACCCTGTGCCACCCTCTGGTATTCCCCTGCCTCCTCCAATACACACCTGGAGAATAAAAAAAAGGACCTCTGTGGGCCTGGTTTGTCCTGCCTAACCTGGAGCAGGCCTTGGAAGCTGATTTCAAATTCTGGTTCACAGTAGGAGAGAAGGAAGGCCGCCTGGGAGACCCTCCTCCAAGTCCCAGGGTGACCCCAAGAGAGAGACTGGGGGCGGGCTCAAGTTTGTATCCACTTGACTGACCACCAGGAATCTTTGCCCAGATCCTGCTTCCACCACTCCTTTTCCAACAGAATGGCCATGTGCTGAACCAGCCGCACATGCAGTTAAAATCAAAGAGGCAAAGAGAAGCAGGTACTGAGACAGAAACTTAAGTGACAGACCCACAGAACGTGAGACTGAGATGCCCACAGAGAAGACAAAAAAGGAGGCCAAGAACAGAGCCTGGAGGGCAGAGTTTCAAAGACAGAGAGCAGGGCAGAGGCGGGCTGGGAAGGGCATTGCCAACCTCTCCCTTCTGGATTAATGCCCTCTTCCCAGCTCCCCTTTCTTCAGATCACCACCTCACTTTGATCCCAACATCCAGTATTCCTTTGTCAAGGGCAACCTCTCCCTCACCCTCAGAGCAGTCTCACCCCTACCCCACCCCCCACCTTGCGGTCCAGTTGTGCCCTCCCACACTGGAGCTCCCCTAGGGTTCTCCCAGAGACTCCAGGCCATCCTCCTACTTGCTCCTGTCCTTGCTTCTCGAGCCCTGGTCTCATGTCCCCCAGCCTTGGCATGCCCATCTCTGCCCTCCTCACCCTGGTCCTTCCTACATTTTCCATTTATCTTGAGAAAAATCTCATCCACTAATTTTCTATTTAAAGAGCTCTATTTAAATAGGTATTACGTTAATTTAAAGAAGAATGTTAAATAGTGCAAGGACACTGCATAGTAGACATTTGGGGAATGTGATTGACCTGGGATTTTGGTGCTCGGTCCCTTTTACTGTTCCTGTTTCCTGCATCTCTCTCTGAGGCTTGATGTGCGTTGGCCTCCAATGGGTGGTACCTGTCCTCAGGTCACTGGGGCTGCTCTGCTCCCATTCCCAGAGAGTCCAAAGTGCTGGGGGCTTAAGGTCACCAAGGACAGCCCTTAACTAGAACTGACTGTGAGAGCATGATAGCTCAGCTCCCAAACCCTCGTTCTGAATAACTCTGAGATCTTGTGTCTAGAATACAATCTAGCTACACAGAGTGGGCACTCAGTAAATGTTTGTTGAATGAACAAATGTTGTCAAATGTATTGATCTCATCCTCCATAATTTCTGGAGTTTTTGTTATTCTTAGGTCTTTACCATCCAAGATCAAAAAAGAGTTACCCATGATTTGTTCTGGTATATGTACATGTTTACATGTGAACTTTTTATTTTCAATTATTTGATCCATCTTGATATGTTGTAAGGACTGAGGCAAATAGGTGTTTTCTCCTCATGGCTAATCCATTTTCCCAACAGCAATTCTTGAATCTTCCCTTCATCTGTAAAACCAGATACTATTTTATCTGAGACTCATTCAGTGAAATATTATGTAATCATTTATAATGGTAGTTATGATTATGTCACTGCATAGAAAAACGCTCACCTTATAATTTTAACCATGGTTTTTTATAGCTACATGAAAATTACGTCAACATATAGGCAAGGACAGGGAAAATAAGCTGACTTAAGGAGGCTGATAGGGCTGTGGGTGAATTTTCCCTTTGATTTCTATTAATATTTATGAAATAAATAGTAAATTGAAACTTTAAATGAACACAATATGGAGGGGAAGAAGGAGTTGAAAGATAGCAAGTTGTTTTCATGCTTGAACTTTGGATTCAAGCACAAACCCAAGACTTGGGTGAAGACAGGTTTTTGTTTTTGTTTTTGAGGTGATGTCAGGAAGCCAAAGAAGGTGGAGGACGCAAGTAAGGGAAAATCGTTACTGGAGTGTCCTGGGGAAATCTTTCCTACAGGAAAGGCCAGACAGGAGATATTCTGTGTATGAAAACACTCCCTTCGGCCCTAAGTTCTGAGCTCCTTCCCAGCCTCAGCTAAGTGAGCGAAACCTCTGGAAGTCTCCCACCCAAAAGGAATCCAGACCTCAGGTGAGTCCACATGCTCCCATCACCTTGCCCTGGCTAATGGGAGGCTCTGTCAACCTGGCAGCAGGGATGCTGATCTCTGTCGTTGTATATTAAGAACTGTAAGAGAACCCTATCACCCTGCACAGCTATCTCTGGAAGATTCCCTCTCTGACCCCTTGGAATTCAGTAATTTTTAAAAATTGAATTCAGAGAACATTTTAATTCGCTAGGTCCTGGCCAGCCATATCTTCACAACAAATTGGAAGAGCATTAGAAGTGGGGAGTAAGGCCTAATCAGCTCCACACTTGGGTGGGTTTGGTCGGGCATGTGCTGGAGCCTGGGCTACTTACACCAGGGCTTGCCTTGCTAATCAAAAGGGCACTTCACTTAAGCTTTCACGGTTCAGCTGCCTCATACAATTCACTGGGGTCCCAAAGGTGCCAACAGAAGGGCAGATACTGACACGCTAGAACATGCCAAGGCAATTGGCACCAGAACCCACGCACAATGCCAGGATGTCACTTGAGGTCCCAGATTTGGGGGCAAACCCCCCACAGCTTGCTTAACTACTTTCTAGAGCAGCTCCCCTTAAGTGCTTTCCCACCTGCCTCGGCCACAGGAGCCCCATCCCAGGACTCTCACACCAGGACTCTCACTGGGCTCCACCTGGTGCAGAGACCAGCGAGGTTTGCGAGCTGCCCTTCGCCAGGGGCGCTTCCGGACGTGTTCTTCAAAACTTTGGAGAGGCTCACTGCTTCACCAGGTGAGCATGAGACCTGGCCGCAACCAGCTCCGGGCTCCAGGGCTTGTGAAGTGAGAAAGGGCCTGTTAGCCTCGCTCCCTTTAAGCCACTACGGGGTTGGACGTGCCTGCAAGGCCTGAAGTGCGCGCGCAACCCTGCGTGGGGCGGGAGGGCTCTTAGAGTCACAGCCCGCCCACTCAGCCCTATCCGCCTACGTCACGCCCCTTAGGTCCTCCCAAATCCCTCTGATTGGTGGAGGGCGTGCGAGAGCGCTCCCGCCCCGCCCCCGGATCCGTCCTCCTGCTGTACTGCCCCGCCCCCTGCATTACCGGGCTGCCAGTGCGGCTTCCAAGTTGGAACGCGAAGGCGCGGGCGCGAACGGGCCCAGACCGTCCAAGGGTGAGGGGACACTTTTCTGTCTTGCTCGCGCTCTGGCCTTCGCCCTAGGCCCGACAGTGGCTGGCAGCTCTTTAGAAGCACAGTCTCTGTCCATCTCGGCTCCCCACAGACCCTTTCCTCTCCTCAGCCTTCGACCCACTACCCCGGCCCCCTTCCTACAGAGCATCCGGAAATGCCCATTGCCAAGGCCCAGCTCAACGCCCACATCCCCGAGGTGCCAGGAGGTTGGTCCTCGAGGAACCGCCGCCCGGCACGCGGGCTCTCGGGCCCAGTGCTGATGTGAGTTCTGCAGGCAAGCCTGGAGCCTCCAGCCGCTTCCGCAAGACCCTCACCCCCACCCCCCCGACTCCTGTACCCCGGACCCCTAGGGATTCTCCACACTCTGGGACCCTTTCGTCGCCCTGCGCACACTCCGGTCCCTCCCAATCTTCCTTGCACCCCCAGGTTCTCCCTCGCTCCAGCGCCCCTGATCCCTCCGTGGGCCGCCTCGGTGTAAGGGACCACCCTTAGCAGCTTCTACCTCTGCAAAATGCTGCCTTCGGCGCCCACATCGCAGACCCCTCGCTTCCCACACTGGGACGCCCCTCACCCAGCATCTCCCCCAAGACACCCTCACAGCACCCTCCTCTCGATCTCTCACATCTACTCCTTATTCCTCTTGTCTCCTGGTAAACCTCCCTCCCCCCGGAATACATCCCTCCTAGGGCCCTCATTCCTGCATCCTTGCGGCGACTCCTCGGTCCCCGGGGCCCCACTCTGCACAGCCCTGTGAACCCTATCTGCACCCCTTCTGGCCCCTGCTTCTTACACCTAGGCCCTCAGTCCACTCATCTGCCAGACTCCTCCCCACGGCCCTCGCATCCCAGGCCGCTGACCCCACTCATTTCCCCAGACCCCGATACACCCGTACACTCCGGCCCTCACATCTACCGCCAGAACCCCTCTGGAATCCCCTACACCCCAATCCCCTCACTCCACTCGTTTGCCCAAGACTCCCTCCCGCCCTCCACTCACCGCCTCG